CTTAGGGAAGCCCGCCCGCATCCGCGCCCGAGCAGGGACTACATTTCCCGAGGGGCCTCGGCGGCGGTGGCGGCGGGCGCGGCAACGTCCCCCGGAAGTGGAGCCTGGGACTTCCACTCGTGCGTGAGGCGAGCGGAGCCGGAGACTAGACGGGAGGCCGAACTTGGGATCTGACAAGATGGCCGGGCTGCCCCGCAGGATTATCAAGGTAACCGCACAAGCCAGCCTCCGGCTCCCTCCTTTGCTCTTTCCCGCTCGGCGGGCCGGACGGCGCGGTTGCTCTCTTCCGCCAGCCCGCGCGAGGAGGCCGGAGGCAGCGCGGAGAGGGTCTGGCTTCGGCGGCGGGCGAAGTCTGGCGCTGGGGAGGGGGCGCGGGGAGACTTCCGGCCGCGGTGGGGCAGCCTGGCGGCTGAGACCCTAGGCTTCCAGGCGACCCCTGGAGAGCCCGGAAGGCCTGGCCCGCGCCTTCGTGGAGGGTGGGGTTGTGGGGTTCTGGTCTTGGGCGTGGGCCTCCGCGGTCATTCAGACCACCCCCGGGCGGAGGCCGCGGGCGCGCGGGAATCGCGGCGGGGCCCGACCTCCGGGTGGGGGTTGTGGCCCGACACGGTCCTTCTGTCCGAAATCTCCCTTCTCCGCCCGCGCGGAAGCGCGAGGGTGCGGCAGCCCCAGGTTTAGAATGAATGAACCAAGAGGGTGAGGCCGGGTCGGGCCCTGCACCCCCGGAGGGCCGCGCGTCCTGCTGCCGTGCGCACACGCTCGCCCCTGGCATCCGGGGTCCCGGGACCTGGGGGCTCTGCGCCCGACCGCCCTAGCTTCCGCGATCTCGTCTTTAAATACATTTCCGCTCGTTGTCTCCGCAAAGTGATTTTATTATGGTTTGCAAACTCAGAGATGTTTCTGTTCAGAAGAGATAGTTTAGTACAGGACTGGGGGGCTCAAGTATAGAGGACCTTGTGAAATCTTTTTCCTATCGATTTTGTGCGCTTTAATTATTGGACGTTTTTCTACTCTTTATTAATACTTGACTTTGACAAGTACATATGGAACCATGAAAAATTGGGAATCTTGGTTTTGTAAATTCTTTTACATAAGTCCTTTACACAAGTCGTCAGGTGTGAAATGTTACTTGCAACTCACACAAAAAATCCTTCAATATTTTGGTCCGTTTTAATGAAGGAAATAAGTTGAATCTCGGTGTTGTTCAATACTAGGTGGGGCAAAAGTAGATTTACAATTGTGAGGACGCGAAACACTTTATTCTTGTATTATTATTTATTATGTTTTCCATAAGAACAATTGTAAACCTACTTTTGCTCCACCCTCTATGTAAGTTAAAGTGACTAAATTGCAGCATCACTTTCTTGATAAAACTTGGTAAACGTATTTACTCTAGTTTGTTTCAAAGTTTGGGGGAGATTACTAAGTGAAAGACCTGTTGTGTTGAAGGATGATGTATTGGACAGTGCTTCGTGCACTTGCAGTTAAGTATATCAGAGATTGGGGAGGGATGGGGGTTGTCTCTGACCTAAAAGTGCTTGATTTAGAGAAATAGAGGACATTTTATGAGGGAGAAATTCTGTCTCTAATAATGTGGACCTTCATAGTGCGAAATTTGTTGTACTGTATTACAGATTTGTCTTGGACTTTGTCCAAGGAAGTTTAATTGCTGTATGCATTGAAAGGGCCTTACAGCGTGGTTTTAGTTGTAATACAGTCACTTGGCTCCAATGGTCATGTTTATTGAGGGCCCAGTTGAAAATGAGAGGTGGAGGATAGAGTTATACATCAAATATCCTGGAATTATTACTTATACTGTTATTCAGGTTATCGACTAAGCACATAATATAAATTGACATTCAAGAGATCTCCAAAATGCATAATGAACTGAAGACTTAACATATATTTTTCCATTTTTGCTTAATTCTGGAGATAACTGCAGTAACATGAAAGCCTTGGATGGAAAAATAAATTCTGTGTAGCCTTTTTTAAAGTGATAATGATTTAAGGTAATAAGCTGAAGTTTTCATAATTCATTTGTCACACCATAATTTAATTTACACTAGGCATTTACATTTTACTATTTAAACTAAGAGAGTGATAACTGATAATTTTAATTTTACGGTATTTTGTTGATAGCATCTTTTTAATGAAAGGTGCTGTGATTTGGGTTTTATCTTGTAAAACTTAGGTGGTTCTACTTTAATGCCATTTATAGTTTAAAAGAACTGCTTTCTCCAATCCCTAGGAAAGATTAAAAGATTATGCTGTGTTTTGTTTTGTTTTTAGTGCCCATGCTTGTATTATGTAGTTTTTTCCATAATCAGTGAAAATGTCTATTTTTAAATATCAAAAATTTTTTTAAAAGTTTGCCTCTTTGACAACTGCAATACAAGTTTCTTTGTGGAATATAGTGATAGTAGTTGTATGGGTAACTCTACTGTCTTGAGTGATAGGAGCATACTATCTTTCACTGGACAACTATGATATGTTGCTGTCTATCTCAAATGGTCATTATTTACATTTGCAAAATTCTTTAACCATTTGATAACTGCAGGAATCTTGTGAAGTAGACAATACATTTTTATAGTCTAAAAACCCATTGAAATCACTTTTGGCAAGAGGAACAATTTGGATCTTGATTCAGTGTGACCTTCCCCAATTTCTTGTTACTATGAAGTGAAATAATGTATGTAAATATACTTTGAGATCTGTAAGTAACTATACAAATATATTCACCCAGTTGGATTCCCGTTTCCAATCCAGTAGCAAATTCTGTAGGCTCTACTTTCAAAATATATCCTGAATCAGACTCATTTACCCCATCTCTCTGAAACCATTGTTCAAGTCCATCATTTGTTGCATGGCCTACTATATTGGTCTTCTTTCAGCTTAAAAGGAGACGTTTAAAAATATATATCATGTCACTCGCCTGCCCAGAACTTTACAAAGGTTCTCCATCACACTTAGAATAAAATCTTGACTTCTCCTACCTACCTACCTACAAGGTCCTTCATGGCACTGGGATCTGCCTACCTCTGAGATTATCTCCTGTACTTCTCTCCTCCTATTGCTCCACTTCAACCACACTGTTGCTTTGCTATATCCCGTACACTGGAACCTTATTTGTTCCAGTCACAGGGCTTTCCTTCTGTTTATTGCATTGCTTTGTCATATTGTTCACTTCTTGGCTCACATGTCATATCCTCTGAAAGGTTTACCTTAAGGTTCCTAAAACACAGTTTTCCTCTCCCTCTCCCCCTAGTTTCTCTTCATCCTCGTATTTGCCTTTCTTCTGTCTAGCACTTACCACTACTCCAAGTTATATTATTTACTTTTTATCTCTGCTCCTTCTAAAAGTTCCATGAAGGCAGGACTCTTTATTCTATGTCATAATTTGACATTTTTACTGCTTAGCAGATTCTATCTGAACCAACCACTGAGGTAAAAACTAGTCTCTGTTTCCACTCATAAATTCATTAAAAAACAAGTCAATCATTTATTTTGTTGCCTAGGAAATACGTAGAGCACATTTGAAAGGTTCTAAAAGGTACATAGAGGAAAATTTAAGACTCTCTCATCTGTCCTTCAGCATTCTAGTTTTCCTCCTCAGACAACCACTAGTTTTATTGTGTATCCTTCCAGAAAGACCAGAGAGACTTAGTGCATGCATATATGTTAGGCCTGTTTCCCTCCTCGTGCAAATACCTTAATTCCCCTCTCTTTTCCACAGTATATCTTTGAGGTGAGTAATTTTTTTAAGGGCAGTTATGTGCAACCTTGTGGTTAGACTTAATTTAACTAACTGCTTGTCGATAACTTCTAGATTGTTCCCAAAATTTTGCTATACAAATAGTGCTGTACTGAATAGTCTTATGTGTACTGGTATTTTGCACATGTGTGAATTAATACTGAATATTGGCAGTTCTGTGTTCAGCTAGAAGTTTTAGACTTTTCTTTTTTCTTTCTTCCCTCCAGGGCCAAAGCTCATTTAGTCCCTAAAAGTGACTGAGCAATTAAAACTTAAAGTCATATTAGTTAAAGAGTACCTAAAATAAGAGGTCCTCCCTAATCCCTCTGTTATAAAGAAGAACCTGGGTTATCTTAGGAACAAGTAAATGAGATCAGTAGTTGTGGCTTTAGTCAAAAACAAATTTATTTTAGCTTTACATGTTGTATTGACAGAGTAAATTCCTTTGTCTTCTCAAAATTAATCGTGAAAACAATAAAACATAACCATAGGAAACTGTAGTTAACTTACTCAAGGAGTTGACTGACTTGATTAAAACCTAGCAAACTAATCTGAGATTAGAGTTTCACCAGTATTTCCTAAAACTTACTTTTATGTTTGATGAGGTGTAGTTTCAAATTCTTAAAAACCTGGTATGATCTGACTTTGCATGGAGACTTGAGTTTGTTTATTTTTTATTTTAATAATTTTTATTTTAAAAATACAGATAGCACTTTTTCCTGTCCCTATTTAATATATATTCTAGTATATAAGGTAGTTTTATAGTAAGAAAAGTGATTCAGAAATCTGCACCTTTTTTTTTAATCCTTACCCAAGGATATGTTTTTATTGACTTAAGAGAGAGGGGGGGAGAGAGAGAGAGAGAAACATTGATGTGTGAGAGAGATCAGTGGGTTGCCTCCCGTATGTGCCCCTACCGGGAATCAAACACTTGGCCTTTCTGTGTACTGGATGATGCTCTAACCAATTGAGCCACACTAGCCAGGGCAAACTGAGCCTTTAAAATATATATATGTATATTTTTTTGATTTCAGAGAGGAAGGGAGAGGGAGAGATAAACACATCAATGATGAGAGAGAATCATTGATTGGCTGCCTTCTGCACCCCCCTGCTAGGGATCAAGCCCAAAACCAGGGCATGTACCCTGACCAGGAATCAAACCTTGATCTCCTGGATCATAGGTCAATGCTCAACCTCTGAGCCGTGCTGGCTGGGCAAACTGAGCCTATTTTAAGCCCTGAAAATCTTTGGCAATTAATGTGTGCCCCAGCTCCTCTCCTCTGCTGCCCCTCCCCCCATTTAAAGAATGGCATGAAAAACTTACCGTGATGAAGATGGACTTGTTATAAATTGTAATTAAAACATCCTTAGGAAACAGATAAACTCATAGTAAAAATTTGACTAGAAACAGTGTGGTTCTTAGCTCTTTTGGTTGTCCCAACTTAGTTTTCTGACCTTTT